TTTTCTTTAACACCAGTAACTCCGTCATGTCTGACAAATGCAACAGTCATGAGTATGGGAAGTGCTGGTAAAAAGGAGGCCTGTAGTTAGGATGTGGATGGTGATATTTAAAAAACAGTAAAAATATGTCAGAGGTACCCATGGAATCACAGATTCTCCGGCAGGCCGTGGCGGTGACAGGAACCGTATCGTGCACCATGTGAGATGTGCTGTGGCAATTAGCAAGACAGGAAGAAAAATAACTGTAACGATAGAGAGAGCTAAGGGGGTGGCATCGGTACCAGTGGGGCTGAATATCACAGTATCCTCAGCGCTAAGATGCCCTCTCTTCCCTTTCTGACACATCTGAAGCTGGGGTGTGTCGCAGTGGATTGCTGCTGTCGGCCAGATGGCAGGCACGACCTGGGCGTCATCTCCCGGGCATGTGCAGACAGCTAAAGAGCAGCCCCAAACCTGCGGGGACGGGGGCCCAGCAGCTTAGAAGAAAGCCCTGCAGACAAAAGCGAAGCCCTCTTTGAACCGTTTGGGATCCAGCCAGCTGTGCGCAGGCAGGGCTGGGAGGCGCGCATGAGACTTGCTCGGCCACATTCCCGAGGCCGAGTCGGAAGTAAGCTGGCTCTAGATCATTGCAAGGCGGACTTCAGAACTCCACACCCCTGGCTGGAGGCTTGTGGTTCTTTTGTGGATTATTTAAGAAACGCTGCCTCGCCAACGCTCCCACGGAACACAGGCCGCCATTGTGTGGAAAAGCATGGACGTGAATGATTCAGAGTTGACAGCTGATGCGCGCTGTTGGATTCTCCGTGTGAAAAAGGTTTGGAAGACCTCAGCCAATACACTTCACTTGTATATTCCTTTTCAAATATACACGATAGTGGTAGGTAATAAAGGCTTGTCTGAGTCGAAAGGAGCTCTCTCAAAAAGAATAAAATAAAAATTTGAAGTATAAGAAAGCAGTGTGCGCAGCTTAATTGGCAGCCTTCCCCCTCAGAGGTAATAAAACTGGATGCCCAGCTAATCAAGGGCATCCAGCGTGGATGCACGGAGCTGCCTTTGGTTATCATGGGAGACGCAGGCGGTTGCTGAGACCCTGAAAGGCTCTGCGTGGGAAGGGGCCGCAGATGTCAGAGTGTTTAATTTAAGGCCCTTGGCACCTGCTCATCCTCAGAGGCAGAGGTGAGGCGGCCCCTGCAGATGGCAGAGCTGCCGAGATCTTCCCGCACGACTGGCCATGCACATGTATGCGGGCGGACGGCGTGAGGGTGCCTGCGTACAGCACGGCAGAGCGCCCACTCCTGCGATCAAGAGACAAAACGCCTGGAACTCTGTACATCACTCCTGTTAGTCACCGGGGTTGGTGAGGAAATGTCCTTGGGAATGACCTTGGTATCTAACGTGTTTGCTGATCATATACGATACGTGTGTCCTGTATCTCTATTTACACACACACGTGCTCATATATGTATAGTCGTCCCGGCGTCTGTAAGGGATTGGTTCCAGGACCACCACGTATGCTCCGGTCCCTTCTATAGAACGGCATGGAACAATGTGTACAGTCGGCATCTGTGGCTACGGAGGGCCAACTGTACACATATACACTGAGTGGCCAGATTATTATGACCACCTAACGTTTGTAGGCAAATTCACTATAATTTCGCGCTGAAGTTTCTAGAGGGGCAGACCATTATAAACGTCTGAATAGCACAACATACCTAAGTATCGTTGATCAAGTTCATCCTATCATGTTGATGGCGTATCCCAATGGAGATGGCTTCTTCCAACAAGACAATGTGCCATGCCACGGTCCTCGTATTGTGCAGGAGTGGTTTCAAGAACATGAGGGAGACTTTACCTTGCTTAGGTGGCCCCCACAATCACCAGATCTCAATCCAGTTGAGCATTTGTGGGATGAAGTTAAAAGAGCCATCAGGCAGCTGGTTCCACAACCATCAAATCTCACAGAACTGGACAGTGCTGTTCATCAGGCATGGTGTCAGATTCCTCGCATCACCTTTCAACATCTCGTGGAGTCAATGCCAAGAAGAATCGCCTCAGTATTGAAGGCAAAAGGTGGCCCAACGAAGTACTGATGGGATGGTCATAGTAATCTGGCCACTCAGTGTATATCTTACACGGAGATCTGTGTATATATGACATAGTTCCCATAAGCTCTCACACTCACATCATACATTGTTTGATAACCTGCTTTTTACAGATACAGCACCCCTTTCTGTGTCATTACATCGCCTCTGTGGCATCATTGTAAATGACAGCATAGAATTCCTTTGTGTGGATTTGCACTAGTTTCTTTAATCACTCATGAATTTCTTCTAGTTAACTTGTTAAGCATAATGTCAGGGCCATCTCTGTGGCCTCGCTGTGTGCAGAGCTGCACTGCTGTTAAGCTGGATTGTAAATGACAGCATAGAATTCCTTTGTGTGGATTTGAACTATAATCACTCATGAATTTCTTCTAGTTAACTTGTTAAAGCATAATGTCAGGGCCATCTCTGTGGCCTCGCTATGTGCAGAGCTGCACTGCTGTTAAGCTGGGTCCTCACGGGGACCTCTTTGTGATCTGACTTCGTGTGGTCTGGGCGCACCAAGATCACAGGCCTTTTGTCGTCCCCTTATTGTTTTTTGTAAATGTGTGTATGGGCAGGTTAAAGGGCCAGCAGAAGGGTTAGGATGGGGGCCTGGGGACGACAGGAAGCACAGGCTCTAGAACCACACAGGCCTGGCTGAGAGCCCAGGCTACGTGTCTTAACCTCTCTGGGCCTTGGTTTCCTCGTGTGTAAATTGAGTCTATGGGATAACCTTTAGGACGGCTGGGGTAGTAATACACAGCATTTCAAGTGCCTGGGAGGGAGGGGGTGCGACGGAACTCCACGCTGACACAGTCCCGGCATTCTGGGAGGTGGTCAGGGCACATAAGAGATGCTGCTCTTCGTTGACTTTTTATGCCTCTGTTCCCTAATTTCCGTGGGTGGACAAAATAGAGGAGGAAGAGCAGCATCTGCCCTGTACCCACAGCTGGCCGCACGGGCATGTGGCCTGCAGCTGCACGGGGCCCTGGGCTCGGCTTCCTGCTCTGCTGTCACGCTCTTGAATTCTTGATTTTGCACAGGGACTCCATATTTTCATTCTGCACTGGGCCCCTTGAATTATGTAGCCAGTAAGGTGGTTGGGAGGGTGAAATGAGAACTCACAAAGCAGTTAGCGTAGGACCCCGGATGTAGTGGGCCCAATAGTTATTAAATGGGTATGATTGTTTTCTTTTATGAACGGAGACAACCATGATAAGTACATTATAGACATCATCTCATCATTAAAATAGTCTGAGATAAATACATAACTAATCTCATTGTACAGATTTTAAAAACTGAGGCTGAGAGGTTAACCTCCGAAAATCACACAGCTTATAAATGATAAATGCAGAGCTTAGATTCAAACCCAAGTCCATTTCCCCCAAAGCCCAAGCCATGGACCTGCCCTATTAAATACTAGTCCCCTCTCTCCGTCCCTCCCAGGGAACCTCTGTGAAACCCAGTGTTAAGTGTCCTTGACCTCCATCAGGAGCCAAGCCAAGGTTTCAGGGCCCCTCAGAGGGGACCTAGAATTCCCGTCAGACCTGGCGGGGCTTCAGCATAAGGACAGGTCCCCTTCTCACCCTCAGGCCGGCCCTGCCTGTCACGTACCCAATCCTGCTCGGACTCGCTGGCTCCAGTTCCGTTATCTGGCAAATCTGACCAGCCCGGTGACAACTCAGCTTGCCTCCTTTTATTCCTGATACGCTGGTGACGAACACCCCAGGAATACCCCTGAAACCCCTGCGAGCATCCGCGGGAGATCCACCCGCGTCAGGTCCTGGGAAAGATGTGGGAGGGCCTATTTCCAATGGGCTGAGGACGTGGCCATCTGGCCTGCTGCAGGGGTCCCTTGATTTCCTGCAGGCCCAGGCCATGATTTGCTCTGCCCACTCTTTTCCCTGCCAGACAGAGAAGACTCACTTCGCCACGATGTTGCTCCCAGGCGTGCAGGAGGGTGGGGAAGCCCTGGGGGCTCCCGGTGTGTGGCCGCCGAGCGGAGTTCACACCGGAGCGTTTCATATTTTGGAGAGCTGGATCTGAATTTTGAACCTGACCATGAGACTGTTTGTTGTTTCAAAGCAATTCCCTAAGTAGCTGTTTGCTCAATACTTTTGTAGTGTGAACAGGGATCTGGGGGAGGGGAGGAAGCCATCTGCTCTGGAACTGTCTTCCAATTACACGATCGCCTTACTGCAGAGCCGAAGCGAGGGCGTCCAGCCCAGCCCGCTCGCTCTGGCCGTTGTGCTGACCTGGAGACTCACAGGTTTTTGTTTGTTTTTTAAAATATATTTTATTGATTTTTTACAGAGAGGAAGGGAGAGGGACAGAGAGTTAGAAACATTGATGAGAGAGAAACATCAATCAGCTGCCTCCTGCACACTTCCCACTGGGTATGTGCAACCAAGGTACATGCCCTTGACCGGAATCGGACCCTTCAGTCCGCAGGCTGATGCTCTATCCACTGAGCCAAACCGGTTAGGGCAAGAGACTCACGGGTTTTAAGGGCCCGGCTTGGGACCCAGGAGTGTGCAGGAGAGGACAGCAGAGAAAGCCAAGGGCAGGCGGAAGGAGTGAGGGGGGCTCTCTGGCCTCACCAGCGTGCCAGCGGGTTTGAATTAAAAAGCGAACCTTGGGAGAAAGTCTCTTTTCCTGACAACGCTGGCAGTCCATACATGTCTTCACTTACAATTAATTCTTCACATCAAATGAAAAAGTTACATCCCTCAATAAGTTAAGTGGGTGATTTTTATTTGCATTGAGATTCTTAAATCTATTTTCCTTAAAATTTGGGAACTATTTTTGTGTGTGTATTTGAAATATGTATGGCCCGTCTCGATTTGCAAAACATCCTTGAGTCTCGTTTTTTCTTCTAAATCTGCGTGTGTGTGTTTTCTTTCTTGCTGCTCTTAGGCATTCATGCAGCCTCACTTGCTGGGAAATGAGTTCACACATTTGGAGTTTCCAAGGAGAGTGCAGAGGAAGGAGCTGGGAAAGAAGATGCTCTACAGGGACTTTAACATGACAGGCTGGTAAGAGCCCGCCTCCCTCCGCCACCACCAGGGCGTGTGAAGGCAGCGTCAGCACCATAACCGGCCACGTGCACAGTTTGGATCAGGAGGTGCCCCGAGACCCGGGCGTGGTCAGGGAAAGGGCGACGCTGCCTCTGCTCTGCGCCCGGGTCCAGTTCCCACATCTCAGGGCTGGTTGGCCTGTCGGCTTCTCTGAGGTTCTCCTCGGGGACACTAGACCCCAAGACCCCACAGAGTGACAGAGTTCCTCACTTTTCACAGAGCAAGCATTTGGGGGCTTTTGAAACACATTGAACTTGGTTTTTGAGGTCAGAGGCTCGAAGGATTGGACCAGAGGTTTATTGGGCCAGTCATTATCCTTGGATTGAACCTTAGCTCGGACCTTTCCAAATGGGCAAAGTTGCATAAACCACTTCATCCCTATGAGCCCCGTTTACCATGGGTATCATGAAAACATATATACTCTTTGAAGGGTCATTGTAAGGACTAGAAGTAATGATTTACCCTCATTATTTCATCACATCCAAATTGAAATACGAAATCTTGTCAGGGGGCATCTTACTCTCCAAACACACCTTGCTAAGCACAAGACCGATTCTGTTGTGGATCAGGCCAACGGGGACTAGGAACCTCATGATTTCTTCCACCTGAAAAATAAATAGACTGATCAAGTACTTACAGGTACGAGGGTTGGTGTAAGGATTAAATGAGAGAGCAGTGCGGGGCACGGAGACAAATGGGTGAAGATTTGCCCTTGGGCCCTGTGTTCCTGACCAGTAAGCCTCTTGCCCGTCTGGAGGATGACTGGAGAAAGAGACCGGCGACTCTTACCTCGCCGTATCTCCAACTCAGGCAAAGAAGTAGATTCCGATATCTCTTCTTCGTTGACCAAAATAGCTGTAACAGATGGTCACAGCCCCAGTTCCCATGGTGATGACTTCTAGGCTGGGAATCTTCTCCTAGGGTACATACTGTCTCAGAGGAGCAGTGGAGCGACAGGGAAGATAAGGGGCTGATCCAAGGGACACTTCCTGTTGTACTTTGCCATCCAAAAGAGGACATCCTCACCAGTATCCACTCTTCTTCTTCTACAACAGGGTTAACAAATTGTGGCTCAAAAGCCAAATTTTACCCGCGGGCCCTTTCTATAAATAATTTTAGTGCAGCCGTGTTTGGCGCTGTATGTTTGATCTTTGGCTACGCTGCATCAGCGTAGTTGAGTAGTCACCATATGACCCACAAAGCCTAAAATACTCCTAAACATGCACGTATTAATCAGAAAGGGTCCACTGTATTTGCAGCTCTCAGTTTTGGAGATTTGGTGCCCCAGATTCATTACCCTAACCCAGCGATTTTCAACTGGTGAATTTTGAAAACATGCAGTGCCTGCCCTGGCTGGCGGCTCGGTTGCACTGTCATCCCATACACCATGCACTGTGGGTCCGATTCCCCGGCAGAGCACATACCTAGGTTGCAGATTTGATCCCCGGTCGGGGTGCATATGGGAGGCAACCGATCGATGTTTCTCACATATCTCTCTCTCTCTCAAACATATCCTTAGGTGAGGATTTAATGGGGGAAAAAACATGCAGTACCTGACTATTTGGTCAGGAGCACTGACCTCTTTCCCCTCAGATTGTCAAATAAAAAAATGACAGCAGCCAACACAATAGCCGTCTGGTGTGAATGAATCAAAATTATACCTATTTTCTGTCAGACTTGCAAAAAATACATATTTTAGTGTGCTGCAAAATTTAGTAATTAGTTTCTGTGTGCCATGAGATAAAAAAAGATTGAAGATCATTGCCCTAAACCAGCCGTGGGCAAACTACGGCCCGCGGGCCGGATCCGGCCCGTTTGAAATGAATAAAACTAAAAGAAAAAAAAAGACCGTACCCTTTTATGTAATGATGTTTACTTTGAATTTATATTAGTTCACACAAACACTCCATCCATGCTTTTGTTCCGGCCCTCCGGTCCAGTTTAAGAACCCATTGTGGCCCTCGAGTCAAAAAGTTTGCCCACCCCTGCCCTAAACCAACTGGGTGTTCTTTGTAAATTCATTTCTATCCTGTTAGCAAAATCAGCACTCTTATAGAAAAGTTGAAGGTGAGGGCTACTCTGGTTCAGAATAGCATGGCAGGGTTTGGTCTGGAATTTGCAGAATTTGGAACAAAGAAAGGAAAGGCATCCCAAGTCAAGAACCACGTGATTGTAAATGCGTAAATGAAAGAGTCCATCTAAGAGACAGCAAGCAAAATGGCCAGCTGATCTGGCATTGAGGGAACATGGTCGAGGGTAAGGGAGCCAGGCAGAGAGGTTGGGGTTTACTGGGGGAGGCAGTAGGTTACTCTTGTGTGTTTCTGAGAAGAAGGAAAGATGAAAGCAACGCTTTAGGAAAGTGGTTCTAAGAGGAGTTTGAAGGGGACTAGGAGAGAGAGCAGATAGAGATACCCAGGGGAACAAATCATAGAACTAGAGGTGTGAGGTCCCGAGGGCCAAATAGAGGGATGGAAGCAGAAAATAGTCAAGGAAAGGAAATGAACAAGAAGCTAGGTCATATAGGCCAGATATAAGTAATGCATGTAAGAGGTAAATCATGAATTATTTCAATTATCTGTTTAAATATGTCTCTTCACGTAGTCGATAAGCCCCCTGAGGGGAGCCCCATGTCCTGTGCCTGACACATAGCAGACAGGAAGCTAGTACTTACTGGGTGAAAGGAAGAAAGGGGTGTAATGGACAGAGTGGAGGGGGACAGTGGGGACAGGTGGACATTGTGGATGGCCAGTGGGTGGAAGGGTAGGAATGAGGAGCTTTCATGTGAAACATGTTGAACTTGAGGCAAGGCTGTCTGTATGTTCTTTCCAGGCCAGCAAGGCAAATGACATCTAAGCAGCCAAAACCAACTTGGTGAACAAATGGCTAAAGGTTACCTCCATTTCATAGTTTTTTGAATGTAGATTATATCCAAGTTTATATGCCCTCTGTCTTTTAAACACACACACACACACTTTATCACTGAGGAGCCAAGACTGAGAATGGCTTCCTCAGACCGGATCTGTGGATTCATTTCAGCGTCGTTCCCTCCCTACATGGCTGTGCCTCCCAGCTTTGCCTGTGAGCAGAGATGTATGTACATCTTTGCACTACTTCCTACCTGTGTTTACTTTTGATTTGAAAATGATGTTTAAGGCAAAGGAGAGCGCTTCACATCTTTGTTGGAAGAAGTTGGGAAGTTTAAAACCAATTTAGACCACTGAGTATGTAAACTCCCTCTCCCAACTTTAATGAATCCCTTTGAAAACTTTTTAGCCTCTAAAGGAAAACCTCAGGTCTAGCCATTACTTATTGGGACTTAAAAAAATGGGACCACAATTTGCTGGCTTTCTGAGCCGGCAATTTCATGGGAAAGGAGATGAGGACTGGTAGCTTTTCCTCCCCATCAAAGCTTTAAATTAGAGTCGGCCCCTGAACCACACGGGTCTGAACTGCGCAGATCCACTTCCAGGCAGGTTTTTCCAAGGAATATTCAGTGGGCCCTCTGCCTCCCCGGGTTTCTCAGCCACGAATGCAACTGACAGCAGATTGGAAACCGTTGTGCAGCTGGGAGCCCGCAGGTGCGGAGGGCCGACTGTGCGTTTGCACTGCTGGCTGCACTGCCAGATGCTGAGTGGCTCCTCCTCCTTGTTCCCATTTTGCAGTTGAGCAAATGGAGGCCCAGAGGGCCATTTTCTTGGCCTCCACCAATGCGCAAGTGTCACAACAGGGACTAGAACCCAGGTTTCTGACACTAGTTCATGGCTCTTTCTGATCCAGTGCACCGGTTAGCTTTTCTCCAGGGTGAGACTAGACGTCATCATCCCCTTTTGAGCTGTGGCATAAATTTGAGCAGGGGACCTCTACCCACCAGGCTTCAAGAGGGTGAGACGAAGCATCTGAGGAGCAGTAAGCTGCTTAGGCAGTAAATTTTCTAGTCTCACTCTGACCCAGTAGACCATTGGCCAGAGTGAAACATGATGCTTCGCACTCATCACTGAGAGCCTGTGTGTGATTTTGGGTGCGATGGTGGAAAAGATCCCCAAGGAACCAGCTCTGCGATGCTTAGGAAAACGCCTGCTCTCGTTAGAGGAGCACTGTGCCAGCGTCCACGGTGTGTCTGCAGCGGGAGGGAGCGTGGGAGAGGATGTCAGCTCGGGGAAGCCTTGTCTCATCTTTAAGGATGAGTCTGTTGCCTCCTGGCGGGCATCCTTTCTCTCCCACCCTTGCTCTTTCTCAGAGACTGTGGACCTGCTCGGCAGGCCCAGATTGTACTGAGGACAAAAGTTTATTGTCACCAGGACCTTCATAATGAAATCAGTCTCTCCCCTGGCTCCCCCACCTCCCTTTCCGCCGCTCCTCAGATAGTTTGCCCAGTGGTTTGATTTATAAAGGCATTTTCTTCACAGAACCCCCAGCGCCGAGTTCATCCCTGACGCGGCCCAGCTCTCACCTTCTGTGCCTGGTGTCATTGGTCCTGGGGCCAGAATCCGGCCTTGAACTCAACACCAGCCAGTGCCCCTCCTCCCCAGCCCTTTGTGCCTGAGCTGCAACGGCGCGATGCACACTGGCTGGCACTGAGGTCTGTGTCCCCACCCGCAGCCCTCGGAGCCCGCTCAGGCCGTAATTTGCTGGCAAGCATCTGTGTGAGGGAGTTGAAACAACGGTTTCTCAGAGCTGGCCTTGTGGCTGCAGGTCCCCGCTTCTGGGCCTGCCGGGGATTTTGCTCTTGTGTAAAATCAGTGTTCTTGGTGCTCTCTGTCCAGCCACATGGGGCGAGGAGCAAGTGGGGGCGGGGGGAGGGCTGGAGCTTCTTCACCCCTGGCTTCGGGCCAGCAGCTCCGGCAGCTGTTCCTGGGCTGATGGGATTTATAGAGCGAGCGAGGGCCAAAGAGGAAGAGAAGTCCATCGTGTGAACGCGAGATTGCTTCCAGATGGTTCTGGTTATGAGTAACGTACAC